TTGAAAGCGTCAAAATGGTATTTCTCCTGTTTGGCTATTGCAGACGAGGTGTTGTGTCGCATCCCCATCGATCTTGGCTTGCCTGCCATTCGTCACGACATGTCGCAGCATTACTACAGAGGTTTGTGTACTTTGTGTGATCAGAAGAATTTGTTGCAGTTGCTAGCCGCCGTAGAAGGGGACGATCGACCTTCTGACAGGGTGTTAGCCCAGCTAGCGGATGCAGATCAGGCCAACGACGACGAGGATGAAGGGGTCTTGGCGCTCGAGGATGTGCCACCTCTTCCTCCGCTTCCGCCTCCAGTCGGTGGCCCCGGGACGGATTCCATTGAAGATTTGCGAAGTATGTTGAGGACAGCCTTGCAAGTTTTGCATCCCCTGCCAGCCCCCGCGGATGATATTGCCAGGACAATACCCGTCCGCCATCGCGGGCGGGATATCAATGTGTGTTTCGATGGGTGTTCACACTCCTCTGGGAATCCGCGGGTTTATGTAGCGTGCTGCAATAGAGGAGAAGGAGGCCACTACCGTTGTTTCAAATACGGATTCGTACACCGATTCCCCGATAAGCAGACGGCTGCGGCGTGGCATTGTGTTTGGGCGTGGCACGGCCACGATGCGGGACTTGACAAACTTGGCCATGCTGCATTCAAGCCAGCTGATGATGAGGTGGAGGAAGCCAAAGCTCTTTTTCATGACCTTGACTGAGCAAGCGCATGTATCGTTGATGGTGGTTCGCATTGACTCGTCAGGTCTGCGCGCTTTGCACATCCAGTGTCCAACGTCGCTCCCCCTCCTATTCTTCCTACCTCTGCTGCCTCTGCTGTGCCCTCTCGCACCTTTCACGTCAACTCGGGTAAGCTACGGGAGACAGTCTCAGACAGGAAGACAGCCTCAGCCTCGACCCGCCGATTTCCTCCCCCATCCCCCCTCTTGCCTCGCTTATTCGCCCTCCTCCCCTCGCTCACCTTCGGCCTCGTTCCCTCCATCATCTTCCCTCTGTCACTCCTTCTATCTCCTTCCGATCCACGTTGTCCGAGCTGCCCCCTCATCTATTTCGTTGTTATCAGGGGGGCTCGGGTCGCGGAAGGTTCCCGAGAGTTCCGCGCCAAGAAGGGGGGGGATGGGGGCGTCGGCAATGGCTGGAGAGGGGGCTTTTCGCAGGAAACGTGGAGCAAAGGTCAGCAGCGGTCAGTGCGCTTGGTGAAACGAGGCTCCCATCCAGGAAAACTGCGGTTGTAGGTTGATTTCGAGTAGGACTTCCCCGGGGTACGATCTGGGGTGAAAATCTGGAGCCGATTTTTCGCCCGCCGGGCGAAAAATCGGCTCCCTGCGGCTCCCGGGTGCTCCCGGGTTTGGGGGGCGCCATCCTCGATACTGTTGGCGTTTGTCACACCCGCTCCCGGGTGGCTCCCGGGTGGCTCCCGGGTCGCCCCCTGGCTTGGATTATTCCGCGAGTATCCTAGGAAGCCAAGCCCGTCCGGGGGTACGTGGTAGGGCCTGAAATCAGCAGCGTCGGTGTTTTCGTCCAGGATCTATCCCCTGGGAGCTTCGGCGAGCTCGATCGGTTCAAACTCGGGCGTTCGAGGGTCTCCAGCCAATCCGGCAGTGGGCACTCTGGCTCAAGGGCACTTGGGCAGGGCCCATGACGTACAGGCCCCCAGACCTTGGCGAATCGGGCCCAGTTTATGCTGATGCAGCTTGGGCGTCGGCAGGGAGAGCTCGGCTGCAAGATACCCGCGTCGATATCCCTTGCAGGGTCTCGTCGCCGTGCGTTGGCATCAATTCGCAACAGCGCGCAGCCATGGAACTAGGCATGAGCACCTTTCGGAGCGTAAACGTGTATGATACGTGCAATGATCTACGAGGCGTCCTCGAACGATTAGGCGGGGCTTCGCCTTTGCATCTGGGCCGCGTCCAAGGCGATGTTACTGCAGTGCCTGTGAGTGAGCTGGAGGATTCAGATGGTCTTGTTGCTGGGCCTCCTTGTCCTCCTTATTCGGGCATGGGAGCTGGGGGTGAGGAGCACGATCCGAGATCGGATGTATGGAACGCCGTTGCTGAAAACTGGGTGATTGAACTCGCGACGCGAGGCTGCCTCAAGTGGTTCATTTTGGAGAATGTTCGGGGCATCTTATCGAAACGCAAGGGTGGTAAGTCTTTCGGCGAGAGATGGATTGATAAAATGACGGGCGACCAACGCTTGGCAGATTGGCACATTGAGACTTGGCAAGAGAATGCAAATACTTTCATGGTGCCACAATCCAGACCAAGGGTCTTCTTCATCGGGACGTCCCCGTGGATGAGGAGATTGCCCCTTCAGAAGAGACTACTGAGACAAGGCCCCCAAAGGTTCCCCAGCGTGCCCCTCATTGACTTCCTGGACAAAGCTCGGGATGATGAATGCATCAACCGTTTGAGTTTTCGGCAGCAGTGCAATCTCGATTGGCAAGCAGCGGAATGGTCGCTACATCATCGTGAAGAGCCAGGGATATTTGACGTGGCCAGAGACCCCGCCCGGACTGTGGAGTCTTCGTTTTCCATTGGCTCTTCGAGGACACTCAGGACAAATTGCTCCACTCTCTGGGTCTTGCCACCCACGACGCATACTGAGGAGTTTGGCCCCCGTGGGAGACTTTCGAGGCACTCAGAGAAGTGCCGACTAGCGGGTATTGTTCCAGCATCCATGCAACAATTGATCGATACCAATGGGTCTGCAGTTGATGTAGCCGTAGGAAACTGCATTCCCGTCCCACTGATGGGTTCAGTGATGTTTTCATTGCTTCTGATGTGGCAGGCAGGCGTGCGCGCTGACATGTTGAATCCCACGGGGGAGTAGATGAAAACCATATCCCGTCCAGCTCCTCCGTCGGTGGATCCAGTACTTCTTTTTTTGCTGGGGGGGGGGGGGTCGTTTTGTTCCTTGCCCCCCCCACTACTCCTCCCCAGTGGCGGCCGGGGCTCCTTCTGAGCTTTCCTGGAGCCTTGCGAGGGCCCGGTGAGGGCTTCCTCTTGGGCCCTTCTCCACCTCCACTGCCCCCCTCCCCCCCCCGCCCCCTGGGAGAAACCTGGTTCGCCAGCCCCCCCGAAAGAGAGACGTTAGTCGACCCTCTCGGGAGACCCGCGTTGGTCCAACCACTCGGGGAACCACGTTGGTCAAAACCATCGGGGGAACCGCGCTGGGCAAAATGCCACCCGAAAAACCAGATGGACCAAAACTATTGGGAGATAAACGCTGGGCAAAGGAGCCCCGCCCTGGGATGTTTTCGGAACCTCCTGGGCCCCAGCGTTGACAAATTCACGACGTCAGATATCTGGGAGGGCCTCGTCCTCCTCGTCTCGTCCACCTCCACGGTAGAGTAGAGCTTGCGGTACGGGTGTCTCAATGTTGCCCTGCGATGGTGGTGGTGGACATATGTATATCCTGGGTGTCCCCTGCTGCGGAAACGCGTTATCCCACATGGTGGGATGAGCCCCGCGGTCCAATCATCCTTGCATCCTTCTACCTTTCAAGGAGGTCCAAGGGTCGGTCCTGGTTTACGTCGCAGCGGGACTTATGACGCCTGCTGCGAAAACGTGGTATCCCACATGGTGGGGTAAGCCCTGCTGTCCAATCACCCTTGCATCCTTTCTACTTTTCAAGGGGGTCCCTCTCTCCGGACGGGACATGGGTTTAGGGCCTGTCGGCCCCTCGTCAGCGACCAAAAAATAGAAAACGGACGCTTAAGGACACGAGAAAACGTGTGTAGATATCAATTGGCGTGGCATCACTCTTTGTAGGGAGCTCTAGAGGATAAAGTAAGCTGGCCCCCCTTCCCCCTCAGAGCCCTAGAACAGGGGTTTCTGGTTTCGTCGCGAGTGGTATCTCTCTCGGCTGTTCGAGCCTTTACAAAGCGCAGCCATTCCCCTGCTTGACGATGCTTTCCAAAGCCGTTCCCCTGCTCGAGTCTTTCCCAAAATACTGCTCGAGACTCGAGCCTTCCCAATGCCGGCGGTGACCCCTGTCAAGAGTTCAAGTTCAAGCGCGCAGGCAGCCTGCTCTCCGTGTCACATGAGCGGTCTGGTGTCATCGCCTCCAGTTGGTGTCGCTCTTCGGCAGTGCTGTAACTGCGAGAAGGACTGCGTTCTCAGCGAGCTCTCGCAGTGGTCCAAGGTCCCCCTCCCTCTCCTCCTTCTCCTCCTCCTCCCAACATGTTTTAACGTGATTAAGAACATGTTGCGCATTCTCAGGGCCCCTCCTCCTCTCCTCCTCGTGGGCCCCTCCTGGGCTGGTCCTTTGGGGCCGCGGCTGGGCCTTTTGTGGCCTGGCGTGCCGCGACGGGTGGTGGGTAGGGTGCGGTTCGCCCCCCTACCGCGGCCCGTCCGCGTCATCGGCGCCCTCAGCACCTTCATCCGCCATCTTGAAATAAAAAGGGGAATTCAGGTGTTCCTTTTTTCAAGTTGCTCTCCTCCTCCTCCTCCTCCTGCGCAGCTATCATACTCGTGCAAAGCGTGCAAGTCCAACTACAACAGGAACCTCGAGCGCATGAAGGTCCCGATCACTGGAGCCAAGATCAAAGCGTGGTGGAATGCCATGGCCTTACTTTGCCACGGATCTTGAGGAGGAGGGATAATGAGGAAGAAGGAGGGGGAGGGAGGATGAGTGGGATGATTGTTTGCTGGGCCTCGGACTCCACGCAATGCGCACCATCATTACGAACGCATAAGAACACAACCAGCAACAAAACTCACACAGCACACGCCACCACTAACAAGAAAACGCACAGCACTAACACCACCAGCAACACACATCACACAGCACACGCCGCCATCAACAAGAGCCACGCAGCACACGCATTATTCACGCATCACACAGCACGCGCACGGACGCGCGCACACTACTGTTTGCCCGCAAGCATCTGGCAGACAAAACGTTATTGTACTGCTGCCCTCTCTGTCGCGTCGCAGTGTCTGCGATTTTGTTGCCGTTTTCGAGCTGAGGGTGTGGACAAGCCCGCCAGGGTGGACTGGTACAGGCGGAACAAAAAGATCCACGCTGCTGGCCCGAAGAAGGCCTTCGACGACGGTATATGCGAGGAGGAGTCCTCGAAGGCCGCTTTCATGAACGACACGGACTTGTACGACTACTTGCCGCAGGACGAGTGGGTCATTCGCGAGAAGCAGCTCCAAGACGGCTTGACTACCAGAGCTGCCATCGCGCTGTTCGAAGAGAAATGTGGGGACCCTTCGACCGCCAAGAGGAAGATTCGTAATCGTATTTGCCTGGGTGTCTTCAAGGGCGCCCGCGTCGGGACTGGCAAGTCGCAGGAAGAGAGGCAGGCGTACAAGCGCCAGAAGATGATTGAGGACGCGGGCGGGGTCAGGGAAGCGGCTGCGCTTGGTGAGCAGCACTCGTCTTCAATGGACCGCTGGCTGCAAGGCATGAACAACCACGTCTCGTCCAACATGCCCATGCCCGCGGACTTGGCTGACGACATCGACGTGGAGATCCCCGTCGGTATGAACGCTCCTTCATCCAGCGGGCTCGAGGCCATCCGCAAAGACACGATCGTGGCCGGCCACGCCGCGGCGGCAGTCCGGGAGATGGACGAGGCGGACTTGCACGTGGCAGAGGAGGCAATCAAGATCAAGAAGCAAAGCGCTGCCTCTGTTGGGCGGCCCGTCGGTCGGCCCCAGAAGAGCAGAGCCCAAGTGCTCGCTGACGTAGCCGTGGTGCTGAGGGAGAAGGCGGGGTGGCTGGGCGACGTCGCTGTGAAGTACGGTCGCGATACCAAGGAGATTCTCGAAGAGGCCAAGGCTACGTTCTCGAACTCCCTTCCCGATGACCTGCAGAAGGTTGCTGACGCGATGGAGGATGAGGTGAAGAATGCCGCCGAGAAGGTCGTGGAGCTCCAGAAGAAGCTGACTGAAACGAAGTGCGAGATGCTCTGCGAGGACGGTGCAAGCTCCGATGATGTGCGCAAGAGGATTGTCGAGCAGCTGCGCGTGGTCTCCACCATCCACTCGAAGAACGTCCTGAACTCGATCAACGCCTTCAAGAAGGCGTACGGGCTGGCGAAGAAGGAGGCGAGCAAGAAGACGGCGGACAAGAAGTCCAAGGATATCCCCGAGAGCCCCTTGAAGCCTCTACAGGCCTTTGCCGACCAGGATAGCGGGAGAGGCGTTGGGGTGATCGACGATCTGGCGAAGGGCTTGATGGAGCTGACGCCGTGCTTGGTGAATGGCCCCGCCCCGCTGATGACGGCGTTCGATAAGCTCGCGGGCGTCAAGGCCCACTCCAAGTGGGTCCAGAAAGAGATGAAGAAAACAAGCTTACATGTCATCCACTCCGACTTCAAGCCTGGAGTTGCAAGGGCAATCGACGCGATCCTCGTGAAGCACATCCCGTCTTCGAAGTGCAAGCCTCCTTTCTCCGCAGACTATTGCGGCGATGCTGCGCTTGGCAGTCAGCAGTGGGTTTTCACCGAGCAGTTCGGTCAGATCGGGGTCACGCCCTTCTGCGTCTCCGATGTGCGCCTCCTCGAGTCTGGCTCGTACTTCTGCGCTGGCGTGAAGATCGACAAGGTCGGGATCGCTAAAAATGCTGCTGCGTGTGCCCGTAGACCTTAGACGTAGACCCCGTCTTCCTCCCCGACCTCCCTCATCCTCCTCCCTCTCCTCTGCCTCCCTCCTCCTCTTCATGCTCCTGCCCTCCCTAATCCTCGAGCGGCCTCCTGCCGATAGAAGGGCATCTGGCGAGGGCAGCCTTCGCTCTCGGCCCTCATTTCCGCGCCGCGTCCGCAGGTGCGCGGGGCCACGCTCAAGGACAAGCTGGAGGGGCTTGGGTCGACCAACGGCGTCGACGCCATCAAGAAGCTGCTCGAGCAGAAACACGGCTTCTGCGTTCAGCATGACTCGCCAGGCTCCCTGCTCGTCATCCCAGCCGGTTACATCTTCGCGATCTGGCGGGACCACACTGTCGACAATGAAGTGTGCCTGGGCATCCGCTGGGGCCACATGAATCAGAATAAGGAGGAGCTCGACATGATCAAGGGCCTCGTGAAGCAGACGATCACAATGTACCCTGACATGGAGCCGAACTACAAGCCCTTCGTCCAGCAGATCGAACAGTTCTTGCTGCCGGCTGCGCTGCCGTAGCGCGGGGCTGGGGCCCGCGGCTGGGGCCCCTGGGGGGGCGATCGGCCTGTCGCTTGACGCGTGCAGCCGAGGGGGCATCCCGTGCCCAGCTTCTCGGGCAGGGTTTGCGAACCGATGCGACTCGCATCGTGATGCGTTTGTCCGACGATACGCCTTGGAAGTATCCAGGCAGTCCAGTGGCGAGAAAACGAGCGTGAGCTTCCACGGCAACGTCAGAGCTGCAACTGTCAGTCATTCGTTCGCTCGACGTTCGATTTGATGTTCCCTACCGCACCCGGGCGAGGTTGTAAGCAGAGGTGGGCCAGCGAGGGTCTCCCCTCGCTGGCCCGCCCTGCCCTCGGGTTAGGCCTCCCGCCTACACCCTCGCCCTGTGGGAAATGCCCCTGGGGCCCCAACCTCGTCGGCGTTGTTTTCCTGGGCTCCAGGCTGCCGCCCATCCGACCCCTCAGGCCTCTCACTTGGGCATTGGTGATGTCTGGGCGTCACTGCGTTTGCGATCGGCCTGCTGGCTGATCTACATGTGGTGCCCTGCGGGCGCCTTCTGTTTCGGCCCGCTCCCGTTCCTAAAGGTTCGGCTGTGGTAGTTGGTCTTCGGGCCCTCCCCCCACCCACCCCATCCCGCCGCCCTCCTCCCCCCCCTCCTCCTCCCCCTCCTCGTCCTCCTCCTCCTCCTCGCCCTCCCCCTGCTCCTCCACGTCGCCATTTTGGATCAAGACCTCGTCTGGCTCGAGCGTGGCGTTCCCCTAACGCCACTTGTTAGGCTCAGTATTGGGCTCAGGCCGTGGCTGGGGCAACGGAGGCAATGCCACCCAAAGCAAATGCACATGGTAGCGGAGAGGTCTCTGTTGTCATCTCGAGGATTTCGACATCGTTTCTCTCGCGCGCCTTTGCGTGCATTGCCCATGGGGCCAATTAGCCTCGGACACCGCATGCTGCTGATTATGCAGCCGCCTCTCGCGCGCTCTACTTGGCCTGGCGCGCGGGCGTCTGGGTCTCGTGTTTGTTTAACGTATTCGGCTTTGGGTACGCGTGCCAAATGCGGGAGCACTTCGATCTGCACTCTTGAGTTTGAGCGCGATTGAACGACCATGCGCGCGTGGCCGATGCTTCTCCATCTCGCAGCCTGCGAGAGGTGCATGTTCGATCGTTTGCGCGCCCGCGCCCGCGCGATGTTTTGCCCGTCGCGTAGCCGACGAGTCAAACTAAGGTATCCGATTTCCAGGGGATATTCAGTTTCCCGCGCCGAAATCCTTCCCCCCCCACACCCCCGACCAGTGCAATAAACCAGGCGGCCCTTTTGGGAAGAGGAGGAAGTTGCTTGCGATTGTTGAGCCCGCCCTCCCTGCGCGGGGTGACCAGATCTGTGTTCTGCCAGAGGCGCCGCCTGCTCTTGTTGAGCCTCCAGTCCCTGCCAGCAATCGTCGGAACCCCATTGTTCAGGCGTCGGGATCATTTGCAGCTAAGGAGAGCAGGATTGGACCAGGTCCAGCGCCTGCGCCAACGCCTACGCCAGCGCCAACACCTGAGGACACACGTAGACGGTTGCACACATGCATGGTCGGGGTGAGCCCTGATGTCCTTTTCATTCAGGCTCGCTGCGCGATGATGCATGCTGCCAGTCCGTGGACACAACAGATGGATGATATCATTCGCTGTTTTGGCTCCCAGTAGTCACGACCGTACACGCGTCGAAGAGAAGGTGCAACAACTGTTGGTGTCCGCCCGTGGGGCTAGCCTTTTGAGACGGTGGGTGAGGATGCTTGGTGTGATAACTTATCCTGGACTCAGACGGGTTGGAGGCGTTTTGTGCGCGCGTTACTTAGTGAGTGGAACCTTCATCATATCTTAGAGTATGTACGTCTTCCTGAACCGCAGCCCTGGAGGCCGAAAAACCAAGAGGCGGAGGAGGTGGCGTCGGAGGAGACCAACAATAAGATTGCCAAGCGTCTTGCCTTCAACTTTGAGAATGTGCCAGTGTATGGAACTATGAGGCCAAGGGGATCTCTATCGAGCTTAACGGTGACTCCCAGGTGGTTGTGAATTGGCTCGTTGGGCAACATGTATGTACGATGGCGGTGTATTATGACACGATTGCACACATCCAAAGCATATTATATCGATTACATGGTACCCGTGGTGTAGAGCTTAGACCGCCGTCCTGGAGTTTAGATACGTGGAAGTAGTCTTATCGGGAAGGAAACGAGCGTATTGATGCTGAAACTTGTAAGGCCCGCACGGGCCAGTCTCACTGCACTTTCGACCCGCGCCTTCACTTTATCCGACGGAACGGATTAAAGGGATTCGCGTCTACTTTGATGGTGGTCGTTTCTCCCGCGGTGTTGGCATAGGTTGTGTTCTGGACATATTCGTGCTCCCTCGCCCTGCTCTGGATTCCTCTCAAGGCTCTTGGCTATTCCACATAGCTTCGGAGGCTGCCGCCATTCCGCCTGTCTGCACGGTGTGTCAAGCTGAGTTTTTGGCCAGCCGGCGCCTCGCTGAAGGTGTCGAGCACCTGCTCCTCTGCTGCGGACCCGAATCCTGAGCGGGGGCCCCTCTTGTCCCTGTGGGCTCCGAGCACAGCAAAAACCAAGGTTGATGGTTTACCACCGCCTTCCAGTTCTGAGAGATCACGCCCCCAGCGCACCCCCTCTGAAATCGAGACTTTGTCACGCCTGCTATGCCGTGGGCGAAAGATACGCATAGCGGCCGCGTTCAGCGGCCACCCTTTGCGCATCCCGTCTCGTCTCGACGAAATGCCGCGCCTGCGATGCCCTGGGCGAGAAGCGCTCATGGCGGCCGTGCTCGCAAATTGCAGCGCCTGCTGCCGTGGGCGAGAGGCGCGCGTGCCGGCCGCGCTCAGGAAGCCCCCTGCGCACCCCCGTCTGTGACTCGTAGAGCTTCCCCATAAGCGAAGCTGCGAAACTCTAGAGTAATCCACAGCGTCTCTGGGCCAGTTGGCTCGAAAAATCTCGACGGACTTTTTGCTCACTTTGGGTCGGTTGGAAATTATGTTCTCGAAATTTGAACATTCGTTAGAGCTCTCGTATTTCCCCAGGGAGTTTAATTTCATTCCCGGTCGCCATCTTGATCTCAAATCGAGATCATCATTATCGCTATCAAAAAGCATCCAGGCGGGATCTCATGTTGGGAGTCGTTTTGGCAGGTCATGTAGGTTGTCTCTACTTAACTTGAGCTGTGGGCCCGCTACAGAGCTCCCGAGCACACCAATCGATGCAAAATGATATACTGCATCCCATTGGGAGCTCTGGAGTGGCATTGGATGTCTGAGTCGCGAGTTCATGTCGAAAACCCTTATATGCATATGCGTACCGACCATTGTATTTCGATCATAACTGAAGGTGCAGGCCAGCTAGGGAGCTCAGGTTCTCTAAGGTGAAAGCTATGGCATGTGTCGAAGGAGTGAGAACAGCAGAAGCGCATCATCGAAGTGAAGTCGGCAGATACGATCAAATAGCTCGAACAATCAGAGTGACATGTCGGCTTGCATCAATGAAATTCTGGACTGAACTGAAGCTGCAGGCCAGCCAGGGAGCTCTGGTTCTCTCAGATGAAGCTATGCCATGTTTTGAAGCAGCGGGACTAAGAATAGCGCACGAGTTGAGTTGAATCGATGGATAGATTCGAATAACTCGAACACTCTGAGTCCCGTGTCACCCTGTTCCGATGATTTGCTAAACTTAACTAAAGCTGCAGGCCTGCCATGGAGCTCTGGTTCTCTCTGATGAAAGCCAATGCGAGATTTTTGCGCGTGCCATTTACTTTCATGGCAAGGGGGCTCTACGAGCTCCCGGCTGTCACCAAGGTTGACGGTTTACCGCTGGCTTCCAGTTGTGGACAAAATGCCGCGCCTGCTTTGCTCTGGACAAGAGGCGCGCATAGCGGCCGGGCTCAGGAAGCACACCGCTGCGCACCCTTTCTTGTGTCGAGAAGAGCAACACCTGCGCGCCCTCTCTGGTGTCGAGGAAATGCCACGTCTGCTACCTGTGCGCTCTTTCTGGTGTCGAGGAAGTGCCGCGCCTGCTATGCTCTGGATAAGAGGCGCGCGTAGCGGCCGAACTCAGGAACCACCCCCTGCGCACCCTTTCTGGCGTTGACAAATTGCAGCGCCTGCTATGCCGTGGGCATCAGGCGCGCATAGCGGCCGCGCTCAGGAACCTCCCGTTGCGCACCCTTTCGGGCGTCGAGAAATTGCAGCCAATGCTATGCCGTGGGCGAGAGGCGCGCGTAGAAGCCGCGCTCAGGAACCACCCCCTGCCCACGCCCTCTGGCATAGAAGAAAACCAGAACCCCACGAAACATTAAGGAAACTTCGAATTTGGAGTGAGGGTTGTTTGCGATATCGTTGATGGCCCCTCGCAGCCTCATGGCGAGTTCCACCGACGGCCCACATGCGAGGGTCCGCGTGCCACCACGGCACCCACTGCACCACACACGTTACGCGTTTCGTGGCCCCATAGGGGCTCCACGGGAGGCGTCGGTGGGAGGGCTGCGTGCCACCACCGCACCCATCTCGGCACGCCCCTGGCGGGTTTCGTGGCCCCATGGGGAGCACCGAAGGCTCCAGCGGCAGGGCCCGTATGCCATCGCGTAGTAGGTCCGCGGACAACCGCCGGTCCGATCTCGGCACGCCATTAAAGTTTTGTGGTTTCATACGGAGCTCCATCGAAGGCCCCAATGGCAGGGCCAGCATGGTACCGCAACGCCCTTGTCGGCGCACCCATCGCGCGTTTCGTGGCCCCATGGTGAGCTCCACCGAAGGCCACAATGGCAGGGTCCGCGTGACCGCATAGCGCTTATTTCGGCACGCCTCGCTCTCTCTCTCTCTTTTTTTTTTTTTTTTTTTTTTTTTTTTTTTTTTTTTTTTTTTTTTTTTTTTTTTTCCTTTGTTTTTTGTTCATATATATAGAATTCCATAGCGCATTTTTGCATACATATCCATAGGCGTGTATGTATGTATGTATGTATGTATGTAGGTATGTATGTATGTATATATGTATGTATGTATGTATGTATGTATATATGTATGTTTTTTTTTACATGTATGTATGCATATATATATATATATATATATATATATATATATATATATATATATGTGCATATGTATGTATTTATGAATGTATGTATGTATATGTATGTACAAACATCTACATGTGCACACATATATATATATATATATATATATATATATATATACACATATACACATATACTCACAATAAATACAAATGTACATGTATATATATATATATATATATATATATATATATATATATATATATATATATATATATATATATAGTATATATACACATACATGTAAAGGCTTCGCACCCTGCCGCTGGCCCCCTCCTGTCGGATAGTGCGCTATGCAAGGGCTATGTCATGAGGCCTGGGCGCTGTCGCGAGGCAGTATCGGAACTTCATGCGAAGCCGACTCGTAATCTGCAAAACCAAATGATCACCAGAGGGGTTACCACACTTGGCGATTGGTGGAGACGTCGTGACGCTGCGGATCTGCGTTGGGGGGTGCCGCCGAATTTCAGAAATTTGGCAACTCCCATGGTTTTTTTGGACCCTGACCCCGCCGATCTGCGTGAGGGTTGCCGCGGGATTTCAGAAATGTGGCAAATCCTTTGTGCTTTTGGACCCTGCCCCTGTCGATCTGCGTGAGGGATGCCGCCAAATTTCAGAAATGTGGTAACGTCCGTGTGTTTTTGGACCCTGACCCACCCGATCTGCGTGAGGAGTGCCACCAAATTTCAAAAATGTGGCAATTCCTTTGTGTTTTTGGACCCTGACCCCGCCGATCTGCGTGAGGGGTGCCACCGAATTTCAGAAATGTGGCAAATCCCTTGTGTTTTTGGACCCTGACCCCGCCATCTGCGTGAGGGTGCTACCGAATGTCAGAGATGTGGCAAATCCTTTGTGTTTTTGGACCCTGAGCTCGCCGATCTGTTTGAGGGGTGCCACCGAATGTGAGAAATGTGGCAAATCCCATGTGTTTTAGGACCCTGACCCCGCCGATCTGCGTGAGGGGTGCCACCGAATTTCAGAAATGTAGCAAATCCATTGTGTTTTTGGACCCTGACCCCGCCGATCTGCATGAGGAGTGCCACAGATTGTCAGAAATGTGGCAACTCCCTTGTGTTTTTGGACCCTGACCCCGCCGATCCGCGTGAGGGGTGCCACCGAATGTGAGAAATGTGGCAACTCCCTTGTGTTTTTGGGACCTTGACCCCGCCGATCTGCGTGAGAGGGCGCCACCCGATGTTAGAAATGTGGCAACTCCCTTGTGTTTTTGGACCCTGACCCCGCCGATCTGCGTGAGGTGTATAAATTTTTAACCACCCCAGCAATTCAGACAATACGATTTCTCCGTGGTAGAAATGCTTGTTTTGGGCCTCCCCCCCTCGCGCGGTCCATCAACAAGGAGCAGTAAGCAGCAAGAAGTCAACAAGGAACAGCGAGCAGCAAGAAGCAGAACTGTAACAGTGGAAACTGGAAACTGCAACTGGTACAGGAAATTGGAAACCTCCGGCCTACAGCCTGGTGGCCCCACAAGGGGGCCGGCTGATATATATATATATATATATATATATATATTATATATATAGTTATATATATATAACTATATATATAACATATCTACTATTATTAATTCGTTTCGCGACCTCAAAGGGAACTCCACCGAAGCCCCCAGCGGCCAGGCCCGCACGCTATTATTGCGTTCAATCTGGTATATCATCCACACGGTTCGTGGCCGCATGGGCAGCTCCACCAACGGCCTCAGTGGCAGGGCCCGCATGCCATCACATCGCCCCTGTCGGCATATCCCTCGCGCGTTTCCTGGTCCCCTAGGGAGCTCCATCGAAACTTCGGTGGGGGGGTCCGCGCGCCACCACCGCGCCCATTTCGGCACGCCCCTCACGCGTTTCGTGGCCACATGGGGAGCCCCCATCGAAGGCCCCAGCGGCGGGGTCCGCCTGGCCGCACTGCGCCCATTTTTGGTACACCCTCCCTGCGTTTCGTGGCCTCGTAGGGAGCTCCACCCAAGGCCCCACTCCTCCTCCTCCTCCTCCTCCTCCTCATCCTCCTCCTCCTGAGGGTCCGCGTACCACCACATCGCCCAATTCGGCACACCCCTTACGCTGTCTGTGGGAGCTCCACCAAAGGGCCAAATGGCAGGATCCGCGTGTTCTCGCCGCACCCGGTTCGGCATGCCCATCACACGCTTCGTGGCGCCATGGGGAACTCCACCGAAAGCCCCAGCAGCAGGGTCCGCAGTGGGGCTTTGCACCCATTTCGGCACACCACTCACGCGATTCGTGGCCCCTTGGGGAGCTCCACCGACAGCTGCTCCCACAACGCGGCACTCACAACTGCATTTGGTTGGGTCCTCCGCCACGATTGTTGCTGTAGATCATGTTTTGAAAAGGGCGCAGGCGAGAGAAGTGACGACATAGTTACGCTTGTGGCTATCCATGGAGGTTGACATGATGTCTGGATCCTGTCGACACGGTACCCAGCAGCCCCCTGTGCGCAGTGGGATGTGTGCAGACGTTGTCAGCCGCGTGAGACGTAGCTCCGTTGGCTTGCGGGTCTCAGAAACTGCTCGCAGTTACACGTGTGGGACTGCCTTGAGACGGAACTATCTGTTCCCATCCTTCTAATATGTCTCCCCGCCAGTGTCCCGCAGCTTGAGTAAGTCGCGAGGGTTTTGCGTTGTCTGACACTTTGGGAGGCGAGTACTCCTTAGGTTATGTGAGCAAGTGCCGCTCGCGGGCTCTGCGAGGGTGCGCTGGTTCGACGTTTCTGGACACCCGAGGAGGCGAGTACAGGTCTGGATCAGCGTGAAACGCGGGTTTCAGTCGTTGGTATAGTTGCTACAGTTGCACGACTGGGAGCAGCCGTGGCAAGCCCAGTAACGGAAGAGTGACGCAGGGGCAGACCAATCTGGGTAACGAGGACATTCTATAATTTCGGTATTCGAGGCGGAAGTTCCAACACGCGAGAGGCTGACAAATCAACGACACAGTGTCAACACAGCATTTGCTCTTTGCTCCTTGTGCGGCCCATCTCATTCGTTTAACCACCACATCATTGAAGCAGGAACGCTCACCCGCATTATTGCCATCCAAGTCCTTGTGGGCTCAAGCGGGGTTTCCTGCACTTCCGCTTTTCTTCGCCACGTGAGGTCGAGACCATGGGAAGCCTGCGCCGAGCTCGTCTGCTCCCGGCACTGCTGCTGGCCGTTGCAGGACGCTGCGACGCTGCGATTGTAGATGAAGCAAAGGAATCGAGAAGAGGACACAGTCACGCAATTTTGCAGTGTAATGACAACAGATGTGTGCAAGTGCAAGGTTGAACGATTTCTGTCCATGCATGGATGTTCCAGGGAGGAGGCGAGGAGGGAAGGGCAGCTCTTTGCATGCGTCATCCATTTATCGAGTCACTACGCTTGCCACGTTTCCGTTCTCTATGCTCCATTCTCCTCCCTGCCCTCTGCACCGTGCCACTTGCTCAATCCCTCTTCCAGGCCCCCTCTTCTCTCCTCCCTCCTCCTTCCTCCTCTCCTCTTTCCTTCATCTTCCTCGCACCCTCTCTCATCCTCAAACGGTCATCTCGCTGAACCTACCAATCTGCAACCTGGTTGCCCGAAGAAGCGCAGGAAGTGCGCGCCTGCTCGTTCGCCCGAGATCCCGACCCTGTTCCCAGTCCGGATGACGTGCTCGAGGCCACCACGACCGTGCGACATAAATGCGAGCCTTAGTCCAGCGACGTAAGTTTGAGCAAGTCCGGCACAAGCGACCTCTCGGCGCCAGAACTGGACTTTAGCAGCTGACGGCCCTGCAGGGTGCACGAGTTCCAGGCACACAACCGCCAGGTTCGCGGCATTTGAGAGCAGATCTGCGTACAATCGATTTCACTCGGTCGGCCCAAAGCGTCTTCTGTGGCGTCTGCTCATATCCAGCTGCCTGCGGCACTGTCCATCACCGTGCCAGCGCATCATTTTGCCTGGCGACGCTCCGAGCAGTTCACGGAAGGCAGCAACACGAAACACCTCGGGTCTTGATTCGTTGGTTGGGCTCCTATGGGGCCTGTCCGGGCTGTCTTGGGACTCTTTCGGGGCCCTCTCGGGACCCTCTTGCGCTGTCTTGGGGCCCTCTTGGGCCTTCTTCGGTGGTTCCGTTTTTGGCGGTCTTGTGCGTCTCTTGGCCGTGTGCAGAGTCGACAGTATGAACATGGAGCTCGTCAGTGCTCTGGTGTCATTGGTGTCATTGGCGCCCTTCGGCGTCATGGCGCCAATGAAACCAGAACGTTGCCGAAATTCCTTATATTCGGTTTCCTTGGCGCCCTTTAGCGTTCTCAGTTTGCCCTGCTATTCCGCTCCGAGTGTTGTGAACGACTTGGACTGCATGCCGTCGCAGGAGTTACACTGGGGCGTGCTCGCGCCCCTCCTCCCTCGACGCCGCCCCCCCCGTCTCCCGTGGCCAGGCTGGCTGCTCCCCGCCGTCCTGCCCAGCGCCTTCCAGGCGCCCCTCGCCCCGGGGCGCGTGCAGCCCGCCGGGCAGCGCCAGGCCCGCTGGTTTTTCTCGGCCACGCGCAGAAGAGGGGTGGCGGATATATATATATATATATATATATATATATATATATATATATATATAGCGATGTCAACTTCCGTTCTGTTGCGAACCCCCGTTCTATTGCAATTTCGAGGTCCGTTTTTGATTTGTTTTCGGCGGCTGTTTTTTTATGTTGCAGTCTGGACCTGGCCCGCGCTTTGCCGGGCAGTTACTTATGTATGTGTGTATATATAGATATGTATATACATGTATATCAGTACGTTGTAGCTATCTCGCAATCGCCGATTATGTTCGCGCACTTTCGCGAAGGTGTTTCCCTCTGTTTTGGCATTCCGTTTTTTGTTTGTTCTTGATTCGTGCATGACATATGTGTGTTCCCCGTTTTGGGCTTCTGTTTGGTTTCTGTTTTCTGGTCGGCGGCAAGCAGAAAAAATGGCTGAGCTCAAACAAGAACATTTTGTACGCACCCTCCCGACGATTTCCCCCCCTGTGGATGTGGTGTGGTGGTGTGGTGTGGTGCCATGGTGCCCCCCCCTGTGGGTGTGCTGTGTTGCTGTGGTGCTTCAGGCAGTGGGAAGGCTGCAACCTCCAGGGCAGGTCCAGAGGTTTTCGTCGTCGTCGTCGTCGTCTTCGTCGTTGTTGCTGTTGCAGTAGTAATTGTTGCTATCGTTGTTGTTGTGGTTTTGGTGGAAGTAGTCGTAGTAGTAGTAGTAGTAGTAGTAGTAGTAGTAGTAGTAGTAGTAGTAGTTGTTGTTGTTGTTGTTGTTGTTGTTGTTGTTGTTGTTGTTGTTGTTGTTGAACATTATTAATTCTAAAGAATAATTATTGTTGGGACCCCTGGTGCGCGCCCCCCCCGCCGCGCCTAGGCCGCAGCCACATTTTCATCATTTTCGTGAGGAAGTCTCAGGCAAAACGGGGTATACCAGATCCGGTTGTGTTGTTACGATCGGTTTTCCCTTGCAAAAAATAAGGCAAAGTGGACATTTCTTGTTCTAACATGACCAAACTTCAAGAATCCCTTGCAAAAAATGACACGAAGTGCACATTCGCGCGCGCAAGACGAAATCCTTCCAAAACCTTAGTCTTCGTAGCGATTTTCACATAAAAACATGAAAAACCCAATGGTTTTTCAAAAAAAGGGTTTCAAACATTCACCCCGCGCGCTCTTGCGGATTTCTTAGGAAACCCAATACTTTTTCAACATTTCTGTCAAACGGGCTCTTGCGAGCAACTTTTTCACGTGCTTCGAACTTCTGCAACAAAGGTTGCGCGCCTGCCAGGGCCATCATCCCTGTCAAATAATACCATGTGGGACACATTCGTTTTTTCTTCGCGCGCGCACGCCGAAATCTTCAAAAATCATTGGGTTTCTTAGGAATTTTAGCACCGCGCAACATAAAATCATACGAATCGCACCGTAGGTTCTCGAAAAACATCTGTACGAATTTTCAAAATTTCTACCCGCGCGCGCTGTCCGAATCCTTAAAAACCAATGGTTTTTCAACATTTATGTTATAGAGCTCGCGCGAGCTGTTTTCGCAAGCTCTTTCAACGGCGTTCGCGCGCCTGCCAGGGGCCACAATCCCTTACAAAAAATATCATGCGGGACACATGCGCGCGTCGTCGCGTCGTCGTTGTCGGCATGGTACCACAACAAGTCAGTGTGTCACCACGCCATCGAACAAAATCACTGATCACTGTCACATCCGTAGCCATCTCGGATCAAGGTATCGCCTGTGTTCTTGGATGGGTCATGGCTTTGTCGGCGAAAGCCCTTGACGAGCAGTATGGCCCAGAGCTGTCGCGGCCTCCCTTGGCCGACTGCGGCAGCCCGTTTTATTTGCATCAGGCGCTCGTTGCAAAGGGTATCCAGGTCAGTCACCAGGCGTGCAAGGTTTGGTGGGTCAAGTATCGGGTTGTGCCTGGCAAGGTCAGTATTTCTAGCGCCAAGGAGCTGGAGGAGCAGAAACGGAACAACGTCGGAAAACGGTACAGGTGTCCAGTGTTGGAACAGGGGGAAAAGTCGTATACTAAGCTAGCTTCCACAAAATGTTACCACAACAAGTCACTGTACCCATGCGCCAGTGTAGTAGCCAAGGTCGTCCGCAGGCCACGAAGTGAAGTGTCCGAACGTCATAGGGCGGGAAGCTGGGTGTGGGTGGTGGCGAAGAGTCGTTTGGAAATTTGGTAGAGCTTGAACCGGCCCCCCCACAAAGTGGGGGTATTGCCCGCCTCCTATGAAAACCCTGGCACTGGTGAGAACGGAGTGTCCCCAGTCTTAAATGATTGTTGTTGTTGTTGTTGTTGATGATTGACACGTGACCTTGTTGCCCGCCCCCCCCAGCAACCAGGAACTAGCAGCCGAAGGTTCATGCCAGCTCACCCTTCTCGAGCATCGTGGCTTTGGCCTCACAGGGAGCTCCACCGAAGGTTGATGTCGGCACACCCCTCTAGTGTTCTATAGGATCCTATAGGATCTTATAGGATTCGCCAGAGGATCCTATAGGTATCGTATAGGATCCGATAGGGATGCCATAGAATCCTACAGGGATCCCATAGGGATCGTATAGGATTCTATAGGGATGCCAAAGGATCCTACAGGGATCTTATAGGGTCTTATACGGATCTTCTTGGGATCTTTTAGGGTCCTGGAACGACCATATAAAACCTGGTGGGGATCCTAAAAAGGATTCCCATCGGCTCCGACACGATTCCTATACAATCCCTATACGGTTTCCATAGGATCCTACAGGACTGGTGCAATCCCTATACGATTCCCGTAGGACCCTATAGGATCGCAGGGGATTCCGATATAATCCCCATACGATTCCTGTAGGATCCCATACGGTTCCTGTGTGATCCTGTAAGATCGCATGGGACTTCTCTACATTCCCTATAGGATCGCATGGGATTCCTGTATACGATTCTTATATGCTCTCCAGTAATGATCGCATGCGATTCGTATGAAATGCCTACACGATTTCTATCGGATCCTATAAGATCGCATGGGATTTTATAAATTTCGATTGGATTCCTATCGTATCCGATAGGATCGCATAGGAGTCCTATACAGTCTCCATACGATTCTTAAAAGGGTTCTATAGGGTCGCATGGGATTCATATACAATCCCATTTCCGATTCTCATATAACCCTATGTGATCGCATGGGGTTCCGATAGCATCGCTATACGATTCCTATAGGATCGCATGGGAGTCCTTCACAATCCCTATACGATTCCTGTCGGATCCTAC